CACATTTCGGTGCATCCTTAGTTATAACCTTAGCCCACTCTAAACAAAACTATAAAGCATTGTTGTGGCTGGAGTTACATTTTAACCTTTTCACTAACATTCAAATATAAATTAATGCCTTTCAATGAACAATTCTATCTGTTCTTCAAAAAGTGTCACATATCCCTTATTTATAGTCATGTCTGGCGTTTGATGACTAATGTGTCTATTGTGACTTTTCACCTATAAAATATATAAGTGGTAAAGCTGCTAAATCGTTATTTTCATGCTTTATGTCACCGACGACAATGATTTTTTGATCTTTGGAAAGGTGTGTGAAATATTTTATTTTTCCTTCGTTGACTGAAAAAATGTTTTGAAGCCCTATTCTGAACATACAATAAACAGCTGCCACGGCTTACAATAGGAAACAGTTTCTCTAACAGAGAAGTATCCAATGAACACTCTTACCGTTACAGCAGACCAGGTGTCATAACAAAAGACATCCATCTACATACTCCCAATCATATAAAGATTACAACTGTGCTGTCCTGCAAAACAGTTATTTTCAGGCAATTATGACTGAGATATGTATGAACATCCTGTTTAAATAAGATAATTGACTACATAAGTCAATATTCGTGATTTTGGCAATAAAGACGTCAACAACATATTTTCATGCAATCCATCCATTGTAGACGCAGGGTTAGTCATTTTTGCGTGCATTTCCAGTTATGATAATTTCCTTGGAAACCACAAACTTTTTCTGTTGCTTAAGGAATCCCCTTTGTTCAGGCTGTGAGACTGAACTCGAGCATTCCAACACACCAAAAAACACACCATTCTATTGATTTATTTTAGCCCAGTACTGTACACAATGTGCGTCTGTGGTAAATGAAGAAAGAGGTGTACAGGATGGGTGGGGTCCATGTGAACTGGAGCTGGAATGAGCTAATTCATTTTAAGTAAATACATTCCTTTTTTTTCTTTTGCTCACTTAGAGGTGGAAAAGAGCTGTGGAAAATCTAAAATTACCTTATAATTGCTAAAGTACAAAATGAGTCATCCAGAAATTATGAATAGAACATCATTGCCCTCCACCATTAGGTACAAATGACTAATCATAGAGTTTGGAGCTGCCAACAACTTGGAAAATCATTGTCAATTTTACATCTTGTCAAATTGTCAAATATCCTTTCACGTTTCTTTGGATAAAAAATCTTCTAAACAACCCTGTATCCTAGTTTCACCTTTATATCTGCAGTATTACCCTTTTGGTTTATGATTTTACAGAGATCAGAAATGCTGTTCTGAATTCTAGAAAAAAGGTGACTGACTTCATTTTGCATGAAACTAATGTAAAAACACCTTCTGACCTTGGTGGTTTTTGGACACAGGAATCAATCCTATGATTCAGTTAAAGATATTAGAGATACACATTTGATATTGATATAGCAATTAGCCACGGGGAGAAATATATTGAAATGTTGATCACATCCTGACTCTCCACACTAATTATGGTTAAAAAAGTCCTCCTACAATGATTCTAGATTGAGGAACTAGATACAAAGTCTTTTTTTTTTTTTAAAGGTGGAGATGTTTTATAATAAGATCTTTTATAAAAGACAAAATACAGTCCATAATGTCTTCTTTTCATTATTCCAAGTGGTACGCAATGGCAGACCTGCACAAAACACTAAGGGGGTTTTTCACTAAGCTGCCGAAGGCAGCCGAGTGAATAACCGAGCAGAAGTGAGCCGAATGCAGTTTGGCTATTCACTTCAGTTGAGTACGGCTGATTTCAGCCATACATCGGCTGGCTTCGGCTGAGCCGAAGTGAAGAACCTGTTCAATTCAGCCGATCCAACATCGAGATCAGCTGAGCTTACCGCCCGGTAGTTCACTCGCTGTTGTTCGCCCCTATGCTCATAGGGGCCGAACAGCAGTTAGTGAATAGCTGAATGCCGCCAAGCGGCATTCGACTCGGTTGTTCTGCTTCCTACCTGGGAGTAGTGAGCAGAATTAAAAAAATGACATGCAAGGAAAAGAAAAAAAAAACACGTTGCGGGGCCCCCCTCCCGGTCCATTCTAGAATGAGGAGCTAGATACTAAGTCTTTTTTAGGTCTGGAAAGAAAGTTAGGAGGGACCCCAAGTGTAAAAAAAAAAAGTGTGTGTGGTTCCCCCTAAAAGTCACACCAGACCCTATAGGTCTTGTAGGAATATTTAAGGGGGAACCCCACCCCTGAAAAAGGGGGGTGGAAAAGTGGGGTTTCCCTCTAAATTTCACAACCAGACCCTTAATCCGACCACAGGCCTGGCAGGGCAGGCGCCATACTAGGTCACAGGCCCTCAGCATTGGGAGGGTGCTTTTTCAGGACCCCCCCCCGGAAAAGCACCTTATCCCCATGCCGATTGGGACAATGGCCTCTTCCGCCACAAGCTTGACCCGGTGGTTGTGGGGGTCTGCGGGTATCGGGCATATTTGCATCAGGGTACCCTCTTTAATAAAGGGGGCACCCAGATGCTGCCCCCCTTGTGAATGAGTAAGGGGTGTTTGTACCCCTACTCATCCACTAAAATGGTTAAAGAAAAATGTAAATAAAGAAAAAACACACAAAAAAAATCCTTTAGCTAAAAAAACCAAATAGTTTTAGCTGGGGAATGGCAGCTGAATGTAAATACAGCATGCAGTGGCTGGAAGCAATAGCCAGCCTGCTATTGGTTTTTGCACCCACCCACCGCCTGCTGTCAATCAGCAGAGGAGAGAACTGAAGGAAAAAGTTCAGGAGTCAGGAATGTGACTGATAGTCATTGTACCTGTAGTCAGGGTGAATCAATGTTGTTCCATTGTGACCAGTTGAAAGAGTGACAATTAAAGGAGAAGCCTTAACCCCATAAGGAGAAGCCTTATGGGGTTAAGGCTTTTCCCCGTAGTTCTCCTTAGGGTAACGGGCGGACGCAAACTAGCGTCCTCCCATCACCCTAAGCTCAGTATACCGCGAGCTACAAATACGTTATTGCCAAAACAAAGCCTAGTTTGTCCCTACAAAACAATGTTTTTATATTTGACTGGTGATGAAGTTATTGCCAAATAAACATGCCCACAGTGGAAAAGTAGAACGAAAACCTCAAATGCATAAAGAGTTTTGACAAACAGCCCCTTTGGGTCCATGGCAAAGTCATAAATGGGGTTTACCTGCTGCCTAGGCATCTTATAAGATAAACTGCTGTTAGTGGTCGATCTGTGTAGCAGTAGGCAGGGGGTTAAAAAGGAACTTCACCCTCATCTTAAAAATGACAATGCATGCATGTTTAGAAATGTTTAGGAATGGCAATCTACAATGATGATAATGTCAAGGGTAGCTACGATGAGTAACCTTCCCTCGACAACCAAGCAGGTCAGGCACTCCTTGGGCACAGCATCTGCATTCCAGCATTTTAACCTGAGCACTCTGTGCATTTGTATGAACAAAAGACCCAAACAGGAGATAAGTCCAGATGCTTCCAGCAGGCCATCACAGCTGAAGTGTAAAACACCAGACATCTGCTCCACAAGCTTAGATAGGAAAGGATTCACTGCCACCGTGGAGAGATCACTTTTGAAGCAATTAGACCATACTGCCATGGTTTTACAAATTAAGGTAACAGCAAGAACAAGATGGAGATCAGGGACACCAGCAAGAACTGGATTTTAAAGAGGGATAAGTGTTGGTTAGTAAAATCCTTGAATAAGAGGATGCCCTCTACTGGACTAGTGGTTTCCCTCTAAGGTGAGTCACTGGTAGATCCACAGTGGGTATAGCAAAATCCTTCCCAAATCCAGTCAGCGCTGAGGGAGTGTTCAGAACCCATCAAAGGGCTTCCAATCCCGACAGAAGGATACCTCAAAGAATAGGGGCAATGGAAAGGACTATGCAACTGTTGGAGCTCTGAAAAACCTGAGAATGGAAAAAGCAGCCTGATTTTCTAGATGCAGAGGAGTAGGTATAGCATCAACAAAAGCTGAAACCGTCTTCTTTTTTGCAAAAGACTGACATTTCTCAAATACAGTCTTATAGGCCCCAGGAATCGTTTGGGCACTGTAAGTTGGGTTCACCCAATGTGGCAGGACCATCCCCTCAGCATTTAGAAACAGACATGTTGTGAGCTTAGGTACTCACGAAACTCAGACAGCTGGCAGACGGTGGAAGGAACAAACTAAAATCAAAGTTCCAGGTGGCTCTTTGTAAACCAGGAGTAGCGGTGGGAAGATGCTTCCTTGATGCTGAGAGAGTGTGAAGTGCGCAAAACACTCCTCCCAGCAGATCACATTAGCTCTCTGTCCCTCAGTGTAACCCCTTCTGTGGCAAAGACTTGGAGAGAATAGGAAATTTAAAAGGCGCCCAGTGATGCAAACAATGAGATAGTTCCCAGTGATCAGCCTGATCAGACCGAGTCTTCAGAGACAGGGCAAGTGTTGAGGCACTGCCAACAGCTCTGGACCTGGAAAGTGCTCTGTGGTTGTCTTGATACCAGAACGGGGCTAGAAAGCATCTTATGCAGAACCCAGTATCCGAAGGTCACTTCCAGGCTGGCTACGCAACGTCCAGTTCACCAGGCTCCAGGTGCAGCACTCCAAACACCAAGCTAAGGATAGCTGCTCCAGATAGCTGCAATCATTGAAATAAGCTAGCAACACTGTAGAGAAAAATCATGATTAGAAAACAAACAAAAAAACGCGAGCAAAGAAGAGGTTAGACTTTTCTGGGCAGAGTTGGAGAATAGACGTTCATCCTACCAGGACACTAGCAAAAAACTAAGGCTTGCTAGCTGTAGGAGGGGTTATCATTGGTAAGCCTACAATCTTTTTGTTTGCCAGTGTCCAATCCTCCTCTAGGCGCCAGTTTATAGTGAAGACTTCCTGTGTCCCTTAATGGATGAGAAAGAAGCTGGGCTTATTCCTTATTCCAAGACAGTTGCTGAAACCATTTTACAGAGAGGCACACAAGTGTATTTTGCAATTGAAACAAAAGCTGCCTACCTTGCTCACAGTTGGCTGGAGCAGCAAAGTTTTCACCGCTCATTAGCACAATAAATGTGCTGTCAGCTCGGACAGTTGCATGCCATGTTGACATTGCTACTGGTGGCTCTTGACATGGAAAAAGGGCCCTGTTGTTGATAGGAGATCCAAATGTGTAAACACAGGGCCTAGTTTTAAAGGAAAAAAAAATACTTAATATGACACAACAAACAGATATGAGAGTATATATCAAACAGACATACATATCTGGCATCCACACATACATGTTTTAGATGGCATTTCAATAATGTAAGATTTCTGGAAGACACCAGGCTTTTTTTAGGCAGATCTTAGGGAAGCTGAGGGAAGAGTAGACCCAGCATATACTGTATTTTCCTTGAGATTCAGAAAGGTTTGCACTTTACATAAGACTCGAAAATTCAAGTTTGGGAAGTTTGATGGGCTTTCTGGCATAAGTAGTGTGGTAATGTTTTTTTAAGATAGAATAAGCAGGTGACCAAGCAATTTTACATATAGTTGCTCCTAAAGTACTGTAACTGTCAGGAAAGAAATATGAGGGCTGCTACTGCCACATTGTTCTACAGCAGCAAGCTCCAGGCCTGTCATCCTTATCCTTGCTTCACTAGTTCAGGAATCACTGATCTTGAATAAGTATGCAACCAGTAACGATCAAAGCCTTTACCTCCACACTTATCCCAGTGATTCACTGAAGTAAAGTAAGGATGCCTGTAAAGTTTTGCATTTTTACGGGACATGGTACAGCTAGTATTAGTCACATTCAGCTGTGCTTTTTCTTCCACATTACAGAACAAGTCTAGATCAATGTGACTAACTACTACTAGCTAAAGAAAGGATGATGATGGTAAGTAAGCTTGCATCTTTCAAAACATATTGGCTAGGCAGAATTATGGCAGTAAAATTAAACGTTCTTCCTTGATTGTTATTTGTGATGCATTTCGAGCAGTCCACCATCAAAATAATTTTGGATTATTTAGTTCAATTTTCCTAAATGTGTTTGAAACCAGAAAACCCCCTCATAGTGCAAATTCTATGTTAACCAGGACCTAACAAGTGTAGTCTCTATAGCTTCCACATATTAGACACTACCACCAACTAGTAACCCAATCTAGAATTTTTAGCAGAAATGATTGCAATTGTTTTCTTTTGAGAAAATGTTGCTGTTTTTTAATAACCTAGCCCTTACCCCTTGGATTCCTCATTGCTATTAAAGTCTTTAGTACTACTCCTCACCTTACTATTTTAACATTCAGGGATATTCTTAATGTGAATTTTTGGTCACCCGCTAAACTATTACAACTTAATCTTTAGAACAGTTTTTTTGTTTTTTGTATTCACGTGGAAAGGGATATTTTTTTGATATATGGGTGCCCCCCCCCCTTCAAATACTGCTGCTTTAATATATACAAAATAAGGATTACAGAGGAGATAATATCTCTGCCCAAGGAAATGTCATATCTAGGACAGGGAATTCATATCCTGGAAATCCAGCCCAGTTCACTGTATCCTGTCAATCCTCCAATGCTTTCTTATGCTACATAATAAATAACCATGATCAGCCTTACAAAGTCTATACGTACAGATTAAGATATTGCTGTCCAAACAATTTGGCCTGAATGCTCACACTGTTTTTTTAAATTCTCAGTTCAAATGAATGCTGGTTGAGAATCTGTCCCCGTTCCCACCTACTAATCAATTTTATAGGCTCCCCATTGTAATGGGCAGGCTCATTGGGCAATATTGATGCAGCAGCAGGTGAGCCAGGCTCCCATCCAGGAAAAAACAGTCAGTATTTGTATTCTAGTATCCCTAGAAAAGGGACCTGACTTGCAAACACCTGGAGGGGCCCAATATGTAGTGAAACTGGGGGTACTTCTGTAGAAGAAAACATGAGTAGCCCATTGGGTTGCTCTTGTATTTCTAATGCCACCTGGTGGTATATTTTAAAATGATCTAAGGAAGAAATTCATATAAAACCTTATTTTACACAGAATATTACTTCTAGACGGAAAACAGAGCAGGGAAAGGATTGCGCAGTATCACCCACCATGTATAGAATGCGAGACAGAAATATTTATCTGCTATGATGTGACTGCAGACAATGACTGTAAAACAATGCAATCTCTCACTCGCTATTTGAGGCCATCTACCAAACATGTTTAAGGACCCATTCACACTTGAGCATTCTGTTGCAGTGCATTAATACACATGCATCTATGAGCATTGCGTTAAGGCAGTACATTTATTATGAACGGTCTGCTAAAGCACAATTGGATGTGCGTGACCCTTTTTTTAACAGCACAGTGCACCACAACACACAGTATATGCCTTGAGGTGCGCTGTGGTGTCTTGGGCTGTACTGTACTATGTACTGCTATGCATTGTAACAATGTCTATGTTTTGCTTGTGCATTGTCAAAACTCAAAAGCTTGAATGGGTCCTTAATGTTCATTTGTTATAGCATCTGACATAAATACTAGGATTATCACAGAAGATGGTTTTCCAATTTCGTAAAGCATACAACTGATTGTACAATCTGCTCATATCTGTGGTTAATTAGGAACTTTAAGTGTGCCTTTCCAATACATCACCAACAACAGACAAGCATTTATGTTTATATAGAATTTTCTTATAATTTTAAAAAACATGATCATACATTTTATTTCTTCTCAAATCAATTCAAGTCTTCATGTCATAATCTGATTATCAATTCATGGTAATCAGATTATGACATGTTCAAGTCAATGGGGGCACACTGCATGGCTACAGTTGTCATGCTGTGGTAAATCAGCAGCTGGGTGGCAGGTTTCTAAATTAGTGGGCTGGGGGGGGAGACTAAAGCAATCTTTTTCTAAAAGTGCAAGTTAAGTTTTTTAACATAATATATGGTTATATATTTTGTGGGTCTCTTCATAGGGTCAATGTGATTTTTTAATTGGCTGAGTATATTAAAACTAGAATTGCTCGGGTCTACCGTATTCATCAATCGTGACACAAGAATAATTTATGGGATTAGGGAAACCATGTCACTCTTTTCAACCTCTTTTTGATGGCACAATATAAAAACAAATTTGTATCACTCAGCCATGGATACTAAAATCATCTTGAATTGGTGCAGACACTGTCCTTCCTTCCGCAGGGTGGTTACTTTTGTTCCCCATGGTCCATGTGTATGTATTGCAAAGTAGCCACCACTTCAAGCTCGCTCCCGTGATGGACTACAATCCCAATACAAATTAGTAAACTAAACATGAGATTATAGTCCATCACAGGAGCAATCATGGAGCGGTGGCTACTTTACAACACGCACAGGGACCATAGGTAACAAAAGTAGCCACCCTCCAGAAGAAAAGACAGTGTCAGCACCAATTGAGAGATGATTTGAGGATCTACAGCTGAGTGATACACAAAAAAGGTCCCGTATTGTTAACAGTTAAGGTATTTGAATGCATTTTTACGATATAACTCCTGAGTTTAGTGTCACTTTAACTGTTGTCCTATGAAAAATTGGTAGAGCAAATGGTCATGACGATGTCTACTCTTACACTGCCACATTCCAAGGAATGGACTGTATCCATCTGAGGATACAATTACAAAAGAACCGCAAAAAAATAATAAGGTACATATATCTTTTTATGGAAGGCAATATCCTCAAAAGAAGTCAAGCTTCAATAAGCTTTTTCTATAAGCAAGGTCTACATACTGCCAATCTATCTTGTATCATTAGAGGCAAAAAGGTAGATATATGTATATGTGATGCTCCCTAGGAATTCTAGCAATTCACTAAATGAAATGATGGAACAGATGGCACAGTAAATGAGTGTAGCCAACAATGAGTTTTATGACAAGCTGTGTCTCAGTTCTTAGGCCTTGAAAAAAATGTCTGAAGCCAGAAGCATGAATGTGTCAGTCATTTATTATTTATCAACAATATCTGAGATCCAAAAGTCAATAAAGGTGTTAAAAAAATGCAGGTACATACCGCTGCTCACCACACCTGCCTTAATTTTCACCTCATAAACAAAGAATTTCTGGCACCTAATCATCTGCCATTCTAAAAGTGTACACAGACAGCTGAATTGTGAACTAGACTTCCTGCAGTCCTTGTCTTTTAAATGGTTACGTCTGAATAGAGAGGGATGGCAAATCAGAGCCTTTGATCCAAGCTTAAGGGATGTAATCCTGTTAGAACTCAATGTGCTATAAAGCTGACCTTCTTTGCTGTGATCCAGATTTGAAGCAAGGCATAAAAGGGATGCCGAGCATATTTACGGTGTCTTAATGGCAGTTGAATCCACTCGTATTAGATGTCTCGTGCTTGTATCTGTGTGACTTGACAGTAGCTGATCATATATATTTTTTTAAATACTGACCTTCCACTTTGGTCTTTAGTCCACTTCACTGATCTCCCATTTGCTGTTGTTTTATACCACATCCTTACAGCTGAAGGGAAAGCACATGGCATCTTTACTCCAGCTTTTCTGATTTGCAAACTCCATGAATCAGTAACAAAGATGAGCTCCCCGCATCCTGGTGCCTGGCTGCATTGCATGTAATAAGATAGTTGATCCTTCCATCGGCTTGCAGGTGAAGCTTCAAGTTCAGGAGGCATATTAAGGGTGTCAGGCAACTGTTGCTTAGATCCATGACTTGTCTGGGTAGAACACATGTAGTTTGTAGTAACTGGCACAGCAGTGACATCTACCTCCTCGACCTTTAACACAGCTAAATCACAACAGTCCAACACTAGAACAAAATCAGCACTCCCATGATTCCTTCTGTCACAGCAGTTCCCTGAACTAGTAATCTCAGTAGTCTGCTTCCTGTTACCATGGTGATCACACTTATCAGAAGTATCTCTTTCACCTATATCACGCAAGGTGGCGTCTTTCACATTACTATGCGATGGGCATATATTCAATTGTGGCATAGGTGATTCACATCTTTGGACTTCATTGGCTTCAGCCAGCTGAGCTTTGCTTGTAGTAACTTCCCCAGCGAAAGCAGGGTGAAGAAATAACACAACACTACCTGATAGAGTCTGGCTGTCAAAATTCACATCCAAGTCCAGAGCAAAATGCTTCACAAGTATTTGACTTGTATTAGCCATCAATGGTAAGTCATCAGCATCCTGATCCATCCTCAAAGCAAGGCAACGGTTTTCAGGGCCAACAGAACGTCCTCAGCAAAATAACAGAATCTGGAAAAAAAAAGCAAAAACAGAATTTTAATAAAAAGCAGACTGAAAAAAAAAAAGGTTCTAAGCAGAGTCTGCAAGAACCCACTGAAATGCCTTAATGCATAGCCAACTAAAAGGATAACAAATAGGGTCCATCACAATTACATAGGAAATTAAAGGGAATTTCCAGGTGCAAGGAAAAGCCCATAGTTTTAAAGACTTCTTCATGTAACTCCAACTAAAATTTTGTTTAGAATTTTTAGAACCTGTCAGGTTTTTACTGATGTCTATGTTCCCTGCACTTCCTGCCAAAGACAGGAAGTAAATACAAATCTCTCCAAAATGAGGGGAAATCCAACCTCTGACCATTCTCAAGGGAAACGGGTGTGCCTATTTACATATAGCCTCTCACTTCCCGATGGGTTGACAACTGTAGAATTTTGGATTCCCCAAATGTTTCTCTCCCAGTGACAAAATTTCCCAAGATAGATGGAGATGTTTGATCTCCCTAGCAAGAACATAGAACTTAGATCCACACTCTGTCTAAAACTAGTATATGGTTTGTCTAGACTTTAACAAAGGCTGACCCATCCCTACAGCTGCCAGATTTTTCGTTAATACAGAGCTGCAATAAACTGCGTTGCTCCAGCTGATGAAAATTATCAATGCAGAGTTACCATAAAATATATGTTCTGTGCAAATCAATGTATGACTATGGTGCATCAGCTTAGGGGTCCAGTTTGAGGGAGGGGTGCCAAAAAATATATACCTTCTCATTGTCTTGGTGCTTTCAGAATTACTTTCTTTTTCCAGAGATACAGGTATATGATACTAACTCAAGATTATCCACCCGGGCTCTCTGATTACCGCTAACTGTTAATTATTTGCTAATTGGTTGCTATGGATCACATATTTTCAATTTCATTCAAGTTATATCAATCTGCTTGATATGACCGCAGAACGTGGATTCTGAAAACCTGCAAGGAGAACATATTTTTTCAACCACTTATATGTAGGGATATTGCTGACAGATACAGATAAGATAAGTGGGCTCTTCTGCCTGTTAAATAACAGTTTAAAAAACTGTTTATGCAATATATATATATATACACTGAGTGGCCAGATTATTATGACCATCCCATCAGTACTTCGTTGGGCCACGAGATGACTTAGTTGGGCCGCCTCGTGACTCCACGAGATGTTGAAAGGTGATGCGAGCAATCTGACACGGCACTGTTGCCCTTCTGTTGTCTTGTACCAGTCTTGCCACTCTCCGTTCTGCCCTAACATTGACTAGTCGCTGACGGCCACAATTCAAACGTTTAGACCCAAATTTTCGGCTGACAGTCCAGTCTTTAAAGACTTTAACAATGAGCCCCTCTTGAACATTTAACGATGCACAATGCAAAAACATGGAAACTTTGTTGTGAGATAACACCATCGAAGAACAATGTGCCATAGTGCGCTTTCTTTGGGAAGAGGGCGTGAAACAAGTGGAAATTCACAATTGCCATAGTGCATGACTTGGGATACCGGGAAGTCTGCGCACAATGGGTTCCCAATCAGCTTACTGCTCTGCACAAGCAACAGCGTGTGGAAGTGACGACCCAGTTCTTGAGACAGTATGAAGAAGAAGTGTTCTGAAGAGAACAAGTGCTCATAGTCACTTCTCTTAAAGCCGTTAAATGTATTTTGCCTTTACATTCTGCTTCTTATTCGTATATTTAGAAAATTGTGTTAATAGCGATATGTTCGGTAAAATGACACAAAAGCACCAGAGGGTTCTTTGCAGCATGATGGACATTTTTTTGTGACTAATGTTCAGTCTTTTTTCCAAAATTACAGTATTGGTGAAATTACTGACACTCTTGCGCCTTCTTTATAATAGATTGGGGGCAATTTAATTATTTTTACATTTAAAAGCTTTTAAACTGATGATTTATATATTTTATTTTACTATATTTGCCCCCAAAAAATTTAAAAATGTGCTTCTACAGCCAAAACTTTTTTTTATCTGGAATAAAGTTTGAAAGTGTTTAATCTCCTATCAGGTTTTTATTGCTGATTGTGACCCTGCTGGGAAGTTTCACCCTGTGTATTTCTTGTGGTGACCATTGTCTTTGGGACGGGAAATTTTACAACTGGTACTGGAAAAAGAACAGAGGAGAAATCTTTCAATATACATGTCTGCCCCAGTGACAGTTGTCTAAAGGTGCCCATACACCTTACAATTATCTGCAGATTTTCTGTGGTCAGATGGAAAAAGTGCAACAGATTGGCCCAGGTGGAGATTACTCCATCCACACAGTTAAGTGTAGATGGAGGAATCTGTTGCACCTTTTCCATCTGACCACAGAAAATCTGCAGATAATTGTAAAGGTGTATGGCCAGCTTAAGAGGGGATTTCCTCTTTGTTGTGTCTCCGGGACAGAAAGTGAAGACAAATCTTCCCAACAGGAGACAGAAAAAAAAACCATTCTGTACTATATCCAAAATATAAAAAGAATTGGCCTTAGATATTTTTTATATGGGTTATACTAAAACCAAAGGGTTTATTGAACATTAGTTGTTAAAGCACACTGAAAACACCAAGAAGGAAGCGGATAAAAGAGGTAAGAGTCACTCCTATGACTTATTTAATTGTGTGTGTAAATCAGGTTGAACTACTAAGTTCTGTAAGCAATAGGCTGGTTCGCGTGCACAGCTGCTCCAGATTCTGTCTGCTCCAGTATTGATAAATTCCCCTCAATGTGTGTTCTCCGTTGTCAAAAAAAGTATGGGAGTTGAGTGCTCATTCAGGGACCCTCACAAGTGTATGTTAGAAGCCCATTTAAAACCAAAGGGACGCTTTAACACAACATGCCTCAATGTGCACACACACAGGTGTGAATGGGCCTAAGACCTGCACTGCGCATGCACCCGCCCCAAGCACGTGGCGCAGACACTTTGAAAAAGTTTTTTATTTTATTTTTTTAATCGTTATGCATATATCTACTGCTTGCTAGCTGTAGATATATGCAAAAACCGCTGAGTGTTTAATAACCCTTTAAAGATGCAAATCAGGTGTGACGCACAGCAAGGAGTATGCTGCTAGGAGAGAGAAAAGTGGCAGAGAGATAAGCTAAACAATGTGCTGCTTCTCTTTTTACTATCCAGTCACAGGGTGAGGGTGGAGAAGAGACCTGAAAGTCAAAGTGAAACGGCAGCAGAGAGAGATCAGGTCCCCTCCTCTGTTAGACACGACTGTGCTGTATGGTGGAGCTGCGTAAATCTCAGGACGAGATGGACAAAAATACACAGGTAAAACAGCTCTCATATTTGTATTTTATCTGTGTATTGAGCTGTTTGCCTGACATTTAGCTTCAAACATTATTAGGATTTGCCTCTGATTGCAATTTACAAAACACCTGCAGTCACTTATGTTCCAACAAAAACAAATTCTATAAATCAAATGCAATTTATGGGAAAAATTGTATCAATATTGTTTTTTGTTTTTTTAAAGATGTGCAACAAAAAATAAATATTTGCTTCATAAAATTAAAATATATGCAGTCTAAAATGTATTATTCATTCTTAAAAGTCATATTCTAAAGCCAGAAGTAGAATGTAACTCAGGGGATTTACATACTTTGTATAATGTGACAGCTCTCAGATCACCACTTCTAGTAAATTATGAGAAAAAGAGCCAATTTACTAGAAGTGCATCCAAAGTATTCCTCAGAGATTGCGCAAGACGATTTTCAAGTTTATAGTTAAATATTCAAGGTATATCATTACATCTTAGTAGCAGAAAGCCCATTAACATTCTGGATAATGACCTCCTGATAGCAAACAAAACCTCTTCTCTTTGGGAAAGAAGATATGAAAGTAACAGCAGAGCCTGAAAAAAAAACATTAAAAGATAATGTTTGCTGATGTACAGTCATAAGACATGAACAGATTTGCAGAGAATGGACTGTTTACTATATACAGCATCTATAATGTATTTGGAACTAGGATACTTGAAGGAGCTGAAGACAGAGTGAATATACTGCCATTCTGCTTTAAAGTGACCATGCCATCTGAGACATATGTGGGCTGCCATTGCTGTGCTCCTTTTGAAAATGCTAGATGCCTGGCTGTTCTTGAATTCCACACCTGTCGCTACAGACCTGGAACTAGTTAAATGAGTGCCAGAAAAAAGTGTCAAATCTCCTTATTTCTATGTTTGTTTCAGGTCCACTACTCAGACAGTATTGAAGCCAAAGCATCCGCATAAAAGACAGGCAACTAGCATTCTTAAAAAAAGGGGTCAACAATATTATTAAGAACACAAAGCGCAAAGCTCACCCCTATCATGCGTTCTTGCAATCAACACTTGGTGCACGGTTGACTAACTTCTGGAGTGATAGGCTCAAAAACTGTAGAACCAGCACATGATGATCTTCCAAAGAAATTCAAACTTTATTCCACATGCATCTATACAAAGAACAACCGCTGATATGTATCTGCCTAACTCGGCCTTGGTCAGAGCTATGACTAAGGCAGAAACACATCAGCAGTTGTTCTTTGTATAAATGCATGTGGAATAAAGTTTGAATTTTTTTGGAAGATCGTCATTCTACAGCTTTTTCAACAATATTATTCTCTCACAGCAGATACTCTTTGAGGCATCAGAACCAGTATTAGGGAGCAATTATCCTTATTACTGACAGTGTCTGAAGAGACTGACAGCTTTGTTCAGTAACAGTGTAAGGAGCATAGGGCAGAAAGTGGCAAGTCTCACTGTTTCGGCCATGTCTGAGTATTACAGCCCCATAAACTTCTATGGGGTCGCGTCTGAAGCTGGATATAAAGGGAGATGACGTCTATGTAATGCAAAGGCGTGGCCAGGATGTAAACAGACATCCGGGCCACATGGTAAGTTTGTAATTTGCGGAAGGGGAGGGTGAGTTTGGTTAGGTCAGGACGAAAGGGGCAAAAAACTGA